TCTCCGTGACTTCGCTCGTTTAAATTAGATGCCTATGCCACCCGCGTATGATGTAGCTTTCCATATATCATTTCTTTTTTTTAATAGGTCCAATTATTTCGAAGCCTTTTCAATGGCAACACATAGCAAATATTTTCTCTTTATAATATGAATACAAATAATATAACTCGCAAAAATATAACCGATACTTACAACAATTAATACGTGTTACTTTAATATCTCAGTACGGTGTGACAAAACAAGGCAAAATGCAAATCAATGACAAAATGTTGAAGATTTAACAACTAACCCAAATCGTCCAATTAAATTTCGTGAACAAAACAAAAAAAAGCTAAATGGATTAATTGTGGTGTTATAACACGATCAAGCGAATGGCGAACGAAGCTGACTAGAAACAATATAACAGGTCACTGGGGCAATGTCACAGTAGGTACCTTAGCAATCCGCTCGCTTCTTTTGAACTTATACGTTTGTCGGTTTCGTTTAATACTGTTCTATTCAGCTATTTTGAACTTTACGGTACGCTATTTAGGTAACTTCATATCAAATTATTAGCGTTACTCACTATTATTTTATTTAATAAATGACTTACCATTTAAATAAATCCTTATCAAGCAACACACAACAATCTGATTGTAAATAATCAAAAACCAAAGGTAACGTTCAAAGAAATAGCGTATCATATAAATAAAACATACATTTCTGTTATGTTCATAGGAACTGTATTTACCTAACTTCGTGTTTTAGATAACAGACTTAAGATATCTAACCAAATGCCAGAGTGGAATTCTTGTTAAGTCAACGAAAAAATGGATGATTCATGAACACGCTTCACTTTAATATAGAGCCCGGAATTCGACGAACTATCGTCATTGTATGAGTTAACGTACGATTTGACGAGGGTTTGTAAGTGGAACGTTTAACCACGTGACTTTATAGTGATAAAATTTGAGTTTGTTGAAGCATAGTATTCGTTTCATCGGAAGTTAGAATAAGGCACCGCTATAAATATAAATAAATTATACGAATATCTAAGAAACATGTAATGATTTTGCTGTGTATAATATTATTATTACCTACCCAAGAGAAGACGTACAAACTATATAAACGATTTATTTTATAAGAGATCTGAACGTCTACTCGATCTCTTCGAACCAAATTTCGTCTATTTTCAAAGCGCTGATACGACTCCAAAGAAATCAATTTTTCGATAATTTATGTCATGACGCGTTAGACACCTTTTTAACACTGCCTCTGATGCACAGATAAATTATCTTCAAGGATATAATTTTAACAAAATTGTAAGAACAATATAGAGTAGGCACTTTGAATTTATTTAGATTTATTATTAGTATAATTCATAGACCATAGCAAATATTAATATAGTAGGCAGGTACAACACGTAAACGCCACGAACGATGATTGCGTGATACGTTGGAACCTACACCGTAGACACGTAATTTTATCTATCAGTCACAGTGCCACAAAGATAACATCCGTGACTTGTGACGTTTTAGCACAAAGTTATATCATAATAAAACGAGATAAAAGAATACGTACATGGCGTTCTCGGGTATACATGTCTTCAGATATCATAGAATGAAAAGTCCCAATTTTGGAAAATTGAGTCAAGTAGATACATTTTACTGACTCAAAACAGCATTTTGGGAGGATTGATGTATAATATAAATTAAATAAACTTGCTTACGCAAGTTTAAGCAATTAGTATCTTAAATCAATTATTTGACAAAACTTCCCGAGATTTTGTTTTGAATAACTTTCATTCTCTAGATGCGTACGATGCGATCTAGGTACAATATGCACATATAAGCCATCATCAGGTCGTCAATTCGTGATAAGTTTATCTACTGTTTTCTTTTCCAGTTAATCATACAACATTTAATTTACGAGAATATTGGAAACCATAAATAAAATAAACTGATTATATTTATGTGATAAAAGTAAGCCGAATGTTGGTAGGTAAACGATCGTTTATATAGTATCAGGAAATTATTTAAAACAAGTCAATTATATAGAAAGTAAAAAAATTACATTTCGATCAACTCAACATTCAAATCGGAGTATTCTTTAAATAAATATGCGCACTTCAAATATCGCACAGTGAAAATTAACCAACTACCTGTCTATACCGGATAATTACGCAACATATTGGTAATATACATTATATCTACTCAAAGTGTTCATACTATCAGTCTATCAAATAAATCCCAAAACAAAAATACATAAGTAGGTATATACTGAATACTCGTGACAGATATATAAGAATTTTGCAGTGCTGTTAAAAATTACAGCGCTGAGCCCAATCGCATCATTGTTACATGTTCGATTAAATAAAATCGTCTTCAAAAGGTAATAAAAATAAAGTTTTTATTTGGTCGTGACAGAGCCGAGTTCGATGCTTTTCTAACAAAATAGCAAAGCTGTGTTAACTGCCAATATAGCTTTCAAAAATCGATACACTAGTTTATTTTATTGATTTTAACATTTAAACGTGATTGATGTGATTAATTCTTGTGACAAAATCTTCATCATTTTTTCTGCTATATTTGTGATCATCTTTTCTTACGATGACTAAAGATAATATAATATAAAAACGCGTTTTATACAGTTTGCGAAATGGTTTTTTGCAAATAAAATTAGCTATTAGATGCGACACGGAAATGGAGGTGAAAGTGGGGTGAAAGCGGCACGCGCACGTTTACCTAATCGCGACGCAGGCGCAGCGGGTGGCCGCGAGAACGTTACATCAGTGGCCACGCTGCGAATGTGAAAGTCAATGTTATATTCGATCACTCGGGACAAACTTAATTCGTTATCGTTATCGACGAATTTACACAGCGTAAATGAAATTAAGACGAGTTGCGTACACTCGGTGCGCTAAACGCAAATAAGTTAGGTAAGATCTTTAGAATTAGTCACAATACAACGACCTCGGCGGTACATACATCTGAGAATATTAAGTGAATGTTAGAATTATCGCTGAAGGTATCCAGTTTTTGAGGACGTTACGTTGCAAGCGTCTATAACTATAGAAAGATAAATATTGTAAAATTAAATATGAAAGGGCTATTTATCTTGATATTTTTTAGTCATCAAACAAAGAGGATCTTAGGAATCTGATGATTATTCCACATTACTCGTTTTATAAGTTGTTAATGTATTTTATCTTAAAAAATAAACACCTTTAGTCATTTACCCGAATAAAATATATCTACTGGTTATAAGATCATCAATATACTTAAAGACTGGCATAAAATTTAAAAAGAGTATAGAAATTATTCACAAAAATTCTGAATATACCTATAACAAGGATAAAAGAAACAAGTCGTCGTGCTAGTTTAACAAAGATTAAAATTAAGTTAGAAATGAGTCACTACCGACTTTAAATTTGGCAACGCAAAAACTGTCGACGCGATGGATGATTCAGACACTAAACCATGTTATTGATCCCACAAACATAACTCTGAGAACTTCATTAAACTAAAACGAATACCGAGGAACGTTATATCACAAAACAGAGCGTGCTAGAGAAAGTAGCCGAGTGTTATCGAGACCATTGTATATGATAGTCGTATCTATGTGGGTCGGTGCAGGCGTAACTAGTACAAACTGGCCTTATCTCTGTATATTTAGTTTATTTGTTTACATTCCGTACGAAACGTCCGATGTCTATTCGAACCAAGACAAGAAGATTTAACCTAATTCAAATTTAAGACAACTGACGAGGATCAATCATCCGCCCTAAAAAAACAGAAAACAAATAGAACGTCGTGTCTGTAACGATAAGTACCTGGCAATATTTATAACACCTAGTGTGTCCAATTCAATAAAGTTCCACTTTATCAAGACAGGTATCCTTGACCCAACAGACTATAGAATGATAATTTAAAGTGGCCTACTTACGACGGATCCTAATCAAATCATACAATTCAAATATCACAAAGAGAATCTCGAATAGAGTGCACGTTAGTTTACCTAATGATATTAATTTAATGGGCACAGAATTTATATTAACCGTTTTTCATTCGATTAACATTATACCTATCTATGAAGGCCGAGAAACATCCATATTAGTTTTGATAGCTATCATTTTATCAAATAACGAGTGTCTTCCTTATATCGTCAGTAGGTATAACAGTAGGAAATATGGTTGGCCCACGAGCCGCCTTGACCTACTTCACAGTACCAGTACCCACCTCGACAGCGCAACTATAAATTTGCTATGCAATCATTCTCTCGACGACAGAGCGCGCGATTAGCGTACCGTATCACGACAAAAATTAGCAAATTATTATAACATGATTAGAATTTCATATTAATCTCCATTAACTGTAACTATATTTCCTCAAAAACCCGACCTAATAACCACGACCGCACGAATATAATAAAACAAATGTAATGAAAATAATATTTATAAATCTTTTGATACTCGTAAAAGTATCTGCTTGAAAAGTTATATTAGATAACTAAAATTTCGCAGAACAAAACTTCTACGCTAAAGCACAACCTAGAATCGATGAACAGCAGATAAAATAAGAAACTTGAAATGTCAACTATAATCTAAAATTAGTGAACTTGCACACGAGGTCGAGATACGTTAGTACGCGTCAGTCAATTCGTAAAGATGGCGCCCCTATGATCGCGATCTTATTGTCTCATTAGCTCCACAACCTTGTTCAACAATTCACAATCAGTTTATTTATCTATATATAAGTAACAAATAAAATCGGAAAGCCAAAAAAGCGATTCTGCGCAAACATAAATAGGTAGGGAAGATGAGAATGATGAAAGTTTAAAGCACCTGTACGATTTCTACTATTCGGATCAGTACATTTATTTCGATAAACTAATACGCTGAAAAATTGTATTAAGGTTATTTTATCCATTGTCCGTACTTGATCAAATTTTGTTAGTTCGTCTCTAATCGGAACAGTAATTAAAAATATCTTTCTTTACTATCGTAAAAATTAGGTACTTACAGCGCTCATTAATCCACAATCCGAGAATTCAACAATCCAGTTTAATGTACATTCACCACTAAAAGAAGTAATCACTTCACTTTATCAAATTCCAATCAATGCCAAATCACACAATCTGATGATCTCACTACACGCACAAAGGTCTTTGTAAATTCACTAATAGTTTCTTCGATAATAGTATTATTTTACGATTATATAAAACTCCACACACCGTATCTGGGTTCACACCCAGTTCCAACTCGCTACCTGTAAGAAGACAAAGCCATGATAAATTTTATGAAAGTTATAATACTTTCTTTCTTAACGTGTAGTTATTAAACAAAATAATATAAAATGATACGTACAAGCTTTAAATTAATTTTAGATATTATAGTACTAAATGAAGTATGACGTAAAGAAGTGCTAAAACAAGTCCAGTGAAAAAGCGTTCACTCAACTCGCCGACGTAACGCGGACTGGCTGGCTGGCGCAATGGGGGGAAACCGCGGGAGGGGAGAGGAGAGAGAGCAGACGGGGAGGACAGAGGGAGGGAGAGCGTCTGGTCGACTGGTTGGTCGACCTATTGGCTTGACACACACACATCCGCAATATCACAAGATTATAAGACCGTTTTAGTGCGACACGAGTATGGAATAAACTTCATCTCGTCTATAAAACGAGATGACAAGTTTTTGTATACTTCCTTTAAGTAAATAAAATATTATGCGATTGTTTTCTCTAGTCTTGAAATTTGTTCACGGATAGCGATCATCCAAGAAACAGATACAGCCTTCAGGAGTTCTCATGGCCAAGCGCCCAAGCGTAAAGGTCATTCAGTTGTTGCTACAGCGAATAAGAATGCTTGTCAAATTGCGCACGTATATTTGATCTACAGAGATGCCTACATTTCAAAACTTCAAACATTTATAAGAGCGATAAATAACGTTTTTATTAGGTGTTATTGATAAATAAAAAGATATCCCACAACCCAAAAGTTAAAAAAGAACACGGAAAGATAAAACATGTTTGATAATAATAATAATAAAAGATAAGATATCAGACGAAATGATAATTTCAATGCTGAAATGGAAACCTTGCTGCTGGAGGATCATTTATAATGTTATCTTCAAACTATAACATACCTACCCTGTTTTAACATAACATAATAGAAGTCCAATAATCTTCATCTAAACAAGTAGGTAACGCAAAGTTACCATTATAAATTTCCTGCGTCTTGATTGTATCAACTAGGTAATCTGTTCACCTTCAGTATTGACCTTGCAATCACTTCAATGTCAACATTATGAAATCTCAACTAGTCTAAATAGTTATGGATAAATCGTATGTTGTTTATTTCATCAAAATGAGGACAATGGCCTCGACGAATCGCGATGTAAATTACAAGACAAATATGAAGGATAAGAAAATCGCAAATATTGAACTTTGGTATGATTTTGAAAGAATCAAGCAATGAATATCTTTTATTATAACTTTTTAGTATGTGTAACCAGAGGTGGACTAGCCACGTAGCAAAAGTAGCAAATGTTATGGGCCCGCGTGTTTGGGGACCCACCACAATTGGGAGCCTCGCTATGGTTCAGAGCCAATTAATAAATTTTTCAGGTCAAGTTAAATAATGCAAGAAATAAAACAAGTCACGCTTCTGACTAGTCAAGTTTTTAAGTATGAACATAAACTGACAAATAAAACTCAAATCACAGATAAGTTGTGTTGTGTTATTCGGAAAGCAAAGGATGACTTTTCTGTTCGGTGATTGTTGATAATTTTCTACGGGCCCCGTTCTGGCTTAATTCGGCGCTGTGTGTAACCTACAGTAATACAGTTTTCACTCGGAAGTATAATTATGAATTGTGGTTGATACTTTAATCATTAGCTGTAAAATAAAGTCAATATAATTTAACCCCTTTACACTTAGAATAGGAAATTACTTAGATTGTTCCATAAACGTTTTTAGTATCAGTCATCGAAGTACCATATTGCTCATGTTAACCACTACGTATCCGAGATAAATATAAATAAAAATAAAGACGTGGATAATCTTCGTGGGGGTAACGTACTTGTTTGGTGAGCAGTCTTTCTCGCTTACGCCTGCTCGTTCAGGTTTCTTTTTTTCATTCTTACGCCAAGTCATCGGCTTTGCCAGTTTTTTATTTTTAATTGCCACTGCCGCCGTAGTACATACTCGCAGCAAAACTGTTTAGCCTTTCACTAAACGGCCATCAAAGCCGCTACTTTATTGCAAAAAATATGGTCAAATTTGTAGAAATCCATGACCTTTTTGTATCGACACTTATTTATTATTATCAACTGTTATAACACTAAAATCAGATGTACATTTAATCCATTTTGAGGTTATTAAATGTTAATAAACATATCAATAAAAGTTTGCTTCGTTCAGCATTATTATCGATACGATTAGGATATGCATAGTGGTAACATAACGTAACACATCGTGTTAATCGTTCTAAGAACGTCTTTTTACAGATTATATTTGCAATATCACGTTCCGATGTAAGGAGAATGTGAGTATCGTGTTGCTGCGCGCCGAGACTGGACCTGTTCTAGAGAAAGTGGCAGTTTCCAAGCGATTACTTTCCAAGCAGTCGTCGTAGAGTTTCGTTTGGTTCGTGTATACTCGGCTCGGAGATTACCGTTACCCCTTTTGCGCAATGAGGTCGCGCATAAAGTTCATTATTCGCCTGTTTTAACTTCAGTTTTCACTTGTTTCAAACTATTATGTAAATAGATGTTAGTATTTATTGCTGTTCGGTTTACATTCTCGCGGCACTATTACTAGTGGAGACCTAAGCATGATTTCTTAATGACTATTATGTAAGAAGATATTCCTTTGCGGAATACCCTGATTAGATTACGCAATTAATTGAAATTGTTATATAATACAAGTCGTTGTGATATTGATGTCAATATGCAAGAAATCGACAGCATTGACCATTTTAGCCCAGATCACTCCCGTTTCACCATTTTGACAGCATATCGAATGGGAATGTATACCTACTTAATATTATTTGTAATTATGTCAATCACGTCCAACTAAATATGATACAATCTATACATAATGAAATAATAACTGCATTTTAAATCACATACCAACATGTAGTTAAACAGCAAATAACCGAAGTAAATTTGAAACTTGAAAATTGATTTTTTTTTAATGGGATAAATGTATCTGTGATAAGATAAAAATTGACTATGATGAATTTAAAAATATAATTTATTATTAGTATTGAAAAAACATATAATGAATAATTATATTATTTCAGACTTCAAAATTCGAAAAGGCACAGTTAACACACTTAATCAATAATACAGAAAACCTCCTCCTTACTTCAATAAATAGTAGTTTCTTGAATAATGAAGTCACTTTTAAGATAAATATTTTTTCTCACTATTTAAAATCAGAAGTCGGTCCTATTTTTTGTAAAAAAAAAAACAAAGAGATATGTATTAAAAAATATAGTGTAGTTATTATTTAATTAGTATACTATGAGTACGCAAGCTCAGCGCGGGCAGGTGTATGAGTTTCAATTAAATAAAACATTAATTACCGGTTTAAATAATTGATTGTTAACAAAATAGCACTGCTGTAGGCAATAGGGCCCGCATACGGGGCGCGGAATAAGTTTGTTATGCGTAAAATATAATTATTGATTATTGGAAACCCTATAGGCGACCGCCCTGGTAACTGTTTACTTTCATTACCTTCGGAGAGTCCGCGGTATAGATAGAGCACGCGGTATACCGAGCAACTTATAGACCAATCAAAATAAGCCTTAAAAGTGGGGCGTGAAGTCAAAAGACTGTCTGTCTATATCTTTAGTCTTTACCCCCGAGATGAGATAAAAAGAGACAGAGGATGATAGATTACGCGTCAAAAACTATTTAGGGGGTAACTCTGTGTTTTTCTATGGAGAAAATTTTATAAATTCACTTTCGCTCTGATTAGAATGAAATAGTTTTCTCATTTTAAATACAACTTATTTGGACGTTATTTTATTAAAAAATCTATTTTAAATTAGTGATTTCGAAGCGAGCGCCCTCGTAAAAGGCGACGAGACGGTGGATTTAGAGAGCCCTCTAGTTTCTTGATAGCCATAGCAACATGAAACCTCGGTAAGGCCCATTCAAGGACATACCCTGTAATACAAGTTGTAATCTTCATAATCAGTGTTAGCCATATTTTTTTAAAAAGAAGATTTGTACAAAATCTTCTGTATGATTAATTAAATTATATATAATATAACACATATTTCATAATCTTAAATATTATGTACCATTTCATTACTACTACTTACATATACTATAAAAGATATTCAGTCTCTTTTTAACCGACTATATCCAAAAGCAGGAGGTTTAATATTCGACGCTGATGTATGTTTTTATATGTATGTCCTTCGATATTTCCGCCAATAGTTGGCCAATTTTCAAAATTCTTTCTTTATTCGACAGTTTAATGGACTGAAGTGGTCCCATTAAAAATTTATCAAAATTTTATCAGTAGTTTTCCTTTTATAACAAAACAAAATACACATAGATGATATGTATTGTATTTCATGTATATCAGCTAAAAAACAAAAGATTGCGTATTTTGAATTCATTCAAAATCCGAAAGGAGGATTTTCTATCAAGTAGTATTTATATTTTTCATGAAAGTAGATATGACTTCTTGAATTGTGAACAAATCACTCGCTGTTTGCTATCTAATGGCAGCTATACATTAAGGTTTTGCATGATGGTCATAGTCTGAAATCATTCTCCATGTCTGAAATGCTCAGTCGCTCTCTGAAATTTCCGTCGATTTCCGGAAATTGGCTGAGACTTAGATAGCAAACAGCTAGTTATGACAGACAAGAGAAGAAAAGCTTTGAGCGAAATTACTTACAGAAATTTAATATACATCAAAAGAAATAATAAGGACATAATAATAATAACTCGAAAGCTTAAAAGAGTCGGTATTATTTTACACGAGGGAGACTTTTTCAGAACAATCAAATTATACTTGATTGCAAGATTTGATAGCTTCGTGGAATGCTCCGGTGGTGGCCTGCGTCGGCCCGTTACATGGAACTGGCGTGAGTACTGCAACCTGCTTAAGAGTTACTATGCAAAATCTTTGATATGCCGCTAATTGGAAATATAAATATCCGATAATAGTTGAAGCCTGAAATCTTTAGACAAATCATTGTTCGATTTAGTGAAGGTCTCAAGTCTCCATACAAATGACGAGACGGCTATTTTGGCTTGTTTTATTTCCTAGTATAGAGCTCGATGGCACAGTGGTAAGAGCGTTAGATCTGAGCGCAAGATCTAATCATTAAAACTAGATTTACAAATAAGGTCGTGTATATAATTTGCAGTGCTTTTCTGTTGAAACAGCCTTGAGTACGACATCCGAAACATTCAATCAAATAAAACTTTTACTAACTTCTGAAATGGGTTTTGTTTGGATGAACCTCTTTTCACCTTTGAGTTCATCTGCGA